AGGTACTGTATTCTATCATAATACATGTTTCCTTGTATGTCACTCTTTTCTACTTACTATAGCAATCAGAACGAGTTTTTTTTTATCAGACTGGCAATTACTATTGTTGCCCAGTAATTCTATCTTTAAATATGAAATACATTTAAGATGATAACCTAATAACTAGTGTTCATAGAGTTGGCGCGCAAACTTCCTGGGAGAGCGCAGTCAGCAGTTTGTGACACTCTACCGCATCTGGTCGATTGTGGGGTTTTCCATCCCAGCAACGCTGCATTAGATCTTGCCAGCCAGTTGGAGGCTTGATAGTGCCTTGTACATATGAAGGTCTTGCACCCTCAGCCTCTTGGTCCAACACATATTCTGCTTTTTCAAGGAGGGCTCTCTTACCATACCACATCTCCCAAAGCATTATACCAAAGCTGTATATGTCAGTCTTGTTATCGTATTCTTTGCAACGAATCACTTCCGGGGCAAGGTAGGCATCGCTTCCCGTCATGGTGTCTGCGATGATCTTAGCCTCTTCAGAAAGGCGAAAACCAGAGACCTTAACGACATTTCTGCGTGAAAGCTTTAAGAAGAGGTGAATGATATAAGCACAGTTGCTATGACCAAAAAATATTTTCGGGTCTTTTAAGAGCTACAAGGCCCCTTCTGCAAAATTTACCAATAGCATTTACAGTTCGTCACTTGACACCGTGAACTATTGATTAAAAAGTATTTGAGCGGATCTTAGCAATTATTACATTTAATTTGTAACTCTTAATTATTTGACTAACGTATTAGATAATTAATGATGAACTGACCCTCACAAGCAGGCTGAGATTGAAGCAAATGTAAAAATTAAATTCAGACATATTTGAAACTCACCAAGATTTTCTCCAGCTTGAAGTTGCGGTGAACAATACCCTGGTTGTGTATAAACTCTAGGGCAGCAGCTACGTCCTTTGCCCAGCACAGCACATTATTCTTGGCGGAGGTTTTTCCAGACGATTCAGGAATGTTTTCAGGATTCTGAAAAATGTGATTCATCAAGTTTTCCTTGCACAATTCCAAAACATGTATCACGCGCAATTGATCGCCTTCCTTCAGCAATGCTGTTCCATAGAACTTGACAATAAAGGGAAAGCAAAGCTTCCTGCAAAAGATATAGTTGCATCGACCTTTATTCAAGTTCATTTGGGTTCAAAGTACCCGAATATTTCAGCGTTTTTCAACTGCTATGTTAACATACCGATCTAACTAAAGTATCTAATTTTCTATAGTAGTCACATCACGTTAAATTCTTCTTTAGACAGCCCTCTTTTATTTATTAAATTCAACTATATTTATTAATTGTCATTTGAAAAAAATTTTAAATGTAACTAACCTCAGTGTTTCTGTCTTAGAAAGGACGCCAATCGCGCTGTATTCGTTTAGTTCTTTACTCCACAATTTCACAGCCACCTGTGTTGGTTCGCTCTGTCCTGGTAACCTGAATGTTCCTCGATAAACTAAAGCGGATGCTCCATTTCCAAGAAGTGAAGCTGGATCGTCTTGATCCCACTCCAAGTCATTACGACTTATTTCCATGCTCCGTAATTCTTTAATGGAAAAGAGGGCCATCTTTTCCTTTTCTCTCACACTCATCTCTCTTAAACGGCCATAGCATTTTTTAATTTCATCTCTAGAGCGGGTCTCATCTCTGAGCTGCTCACATAGTATTTTGTCGGCGGCTAAGAGCTCGTGCAAACGAGATGAAACTTTTGTAAGGTAAACATGAACATCTTTGAGCTGCTCTTTCACGATCAGCGAAAGCTGTTGCTCTTGAACCACTTTGCAAAGGTATTTATGGGAGGCGCCCACGATGAATCTACGTTTGTCTTTTCCATATTTTCTTGAACGTTTCAAATTTTTTACTTTCTCTTTAAGTGTCATGACACCAACAACTGGAACACTGCTAGCTAAAGCTGCTAGGACAAATGGAACCCAAATTGGACTTGTCAGCCCCATCATAACTATTTGGGCCGCCCCGAAGTCATTTGAAGACTGGCAAGTATTTGATCCACTAGCAGCAGCAGCGTCCGTAATGACGAGGTTCTCTAGGTATCGGTATGGGAGTAGATTCTTACATTCATCAAATCGCTGGTCGGACAATTGGACCAGAGAGCTGCGAGTGTTGAATAAAATTTGGTTTTTTTCTTCCCACGCGGTAATCGTGTTCTCAAGTCGCGACCTAAATGCTTTTTGAATAGGATCTTCGGTTACCTCCCAACTTTCTCCAGCGTGTGGAATATCTTCAAGCGTCCAAGAGGTAAATTTTTCCATAACTTCACAAGACTGGAGGTGTTTGGAAAGTTCCCTAACGGTATCGTCTGCCAGTTTTCTGAAATGCTCATTCAACTCGTCTTCAACTGAGCGCAGCCGCTTCTCAACGTAACGAAGGCGTTCAGAATGTAAATCAACGTAACGAAGGCGTTCAGAAAGTAAATCAGAGACGTCTGTTCGATCGGTGAGCGGGCAAAGAAGATCCATGACCATTTTCATGTGGTGGGTCATACGTGAAATGGCCAGGTCAAGCCACCTGAGAGATGGAAATATGCAAATGTTAAGTTCATTTTTCACCAAAATGTTTATTGAATTTATTCTTTATCATTCCAAGTGGGTGAAACTTTAAGATATAAACTAGTCGAATTACAAACTAGGAAGAAATTCATTGTTATTTTGGCGAATTTGAGCGTATCTAGGCTATATGGGTTTTAGCAAAGCTTCTAAATAAGCACTTTCCAATAACCATCTAATTTTCAGTGTGCAAATGAATGAATCTCATTAGATCATGACACGAGGGCAACATAACCTGGTCTTCCTAAAAGGAGTCAATAATAAGATAGGAATTGGATGCAAAAGAGTACATCACTTAGCCAAGAAAAATGCTAACTCCAGTTAGGTTAAGATGTAAATTAGGACCATAATACCCTCACCGACTTTTTTAAGACCCTCTACAGAACCTACCTCCACTGCATTTGCAGCGTTGCTTTATTGTTTTGCAAGGCGGTGGATTTAATAGCATCCATCAGTGACGCAAACTCCGCGACAACTGTTTCATCGTTTGTGGCGTAAGGCGATGAAATGTAAATGATTTGAGAATCTGGGTCTATTTCAGGCCAGAATTCTCTGAATTCACCCTTGACGTGATTTTTGATGGAATCAGCCTCTTCTTGAGATACTTGATCCCAATTGTTACATAGGAAAAGAGGAAAAATTGACGAGGATTCTGGATGGTCAAGACATACTTTTCGGAATTGTTTGATTGGTTCCATCATCTATGAGGACGAACGTACACATGGAGTTAAAAGTTCCTTCGAGGGTAATAATACTGATAATCATAATAATAATCATAAAAATGATAACAATAATAATAACAACATATTAAAAACACTCAAGCAAAAGCTGTTATAAATGATTGCTCTGGGCAGTAAATAATAATAGAGATAATGTTAACGATCGTGGTAATAATAATGATGACAAAAGTAATAAGTAATCAGCAGGTGCAGTGCAGGTAGAGCACTGCACCGGTATCACAGAGGTCATGCGTTCAACTCCCATACAGGCCTGAATTTTTTTTTAGGTCTTATTTTCACCACTGCTCAAGCAGTTTTCATTATTGCGAATATTGCTTTCATATTCACGTCTTTATGCGCAGTTCACGTATATAATTTTCATATATTTACAGTCATTTATTCATCACTTCACGGGTTTACATTGAACCAACATAACGATCAACTCCCAGTTGGCCTGTTAGCTCAATTGGTAGAGCACTGCACCGGTATCGCAAAGGTCATGAATTC